AGAGAATTTTCAAAATTTTTAATGGATATATAAGTAGTTTATATATAGGGATTTCTTACAGAATTACAGAACGTTTACATTTTAAAATTAGGACCTTGAATTGCTCAATTCAGTAACACTAAATATAAGAATCTACAATTTATCTCCACCTCCCCCAAAAAATGTCTCTGTAGATTGCTTTATTTTATTTTTTTGGTGGAATGGGGGATTGAACTCAGGCCCTTACGCTTGCCAGGAAAGCGCTTATTCAACTGAGCTAGCTCCCCAACCCCTGTAGACTGCTTTAAATTCTTACAACTAAGTACTTCTTTCCATGTTAGGCAAAGCTAGCTGCTCTATAGTTTTTATATTTTTAGAAAAATTTATACTGAACTCAGTTTGTTTTCCCAATCACCTGCAGGTATGCTTTCTAACAAAGGGAATTCCATTTCACTTTATTTTTTTTAAACATGTATTTGAAGATAGCCTGTGTTTCTCACCTTTTAGTCTCTTTCAGCTACATGTATGATCCACAGACTTCCTTAAGTTCCTGGAGGCATTTTTGATGTACAAAGTACTTCTACATTGCAAATAACCTTTTTTTTAAAAAAAAAAACTGCTACTTGTTAATTTGGGGTTTAGTGCCAGAGAACGCCATAAAAGGCTACTGAATTCTTCCTTTTCCAAATGCCTATTTATATGAAGATAGATTGATTCTCTCCACATATCTCAATCAAAATATATACTGCAGCCAGGGAGATAGCTCAGCAGCATAAGCATCTGCCTGGCAAATGAAGGTCCCCAGTTGATCCCCAGTACCAAACAGGAAAAACAAAAACAAGGGGCTAGGAGATGGCTCAGTAGAATAAGCACTTGCCTAGTAAGCACAACAGACTGAGTTCAATCCCCGGTTCCACTAAAAAAAAAAAGGAGAGAGAGAACAAAACAAACAAATATATAATATTCAAAAGACTGAAAGCAGAATTAAAAACAAAATATAGCAGTCTTCTAGTAAGCCAGAATTTAGTTATTTGCAAAATAAAATACTATACAATGTTTTAATACTCTTTAAATAAATATTTTAAAATCCTCAGTATATTATACAGCAAAGACTAATAGTCAATAGCCTAACTAAACAAAATCTCTGAGGTTGTCAACAATTTTTGAGAATAAAGGGGTCCTAAGACCAAACAAGCTAACCCACAGCCTATTTCTCATAAGCCTTTCAGATCTAGAATTCTTAATATATACAACTCTAATCTCTTCTACCTAGTGATTTCTTTTTTTAATGTCTTCAAGGTTTTGGGGACTGATCTCAGGGCCTTATTACTGAGCTACATTCCCAGCTCTTTGGGGGAGGACAAGGTCTCACTATGTCAATAAACTACCCAGGCTAGGCTGGCGATCTTCCTGCCTCAGGCTCCCAGAGCACTAGGATTTTAGGCTTGGGCTATCATGCCCAGCTAGCTAGTGATTTCAACAAACACTAAAAGCCGGCAGAACCATCTGGTATATTTTTATTTTAACATGTCCATACAAGTATTCAATCAAGTATTTTAATTCATATAGTACTTTAATTCTTCTAGCTAAAGAATGCAGGCTTCAAATATGGAAAAAGAAAGCAGCAGTTTAATTGCACTGATGCCACCTTTTGGACCAAACTACTTCCACTATTACAAAAAGTACAACAAATTATTCACAGCTTGCAAGATGGAAGAGGTAAAAAATGAAGATACTTTGTAAAATCAAATCATTTGATTCCTAGCCATAGCCTGTTCAAAAATACTCATGTGCAGAAAGAAAGAAAATCAAAACTCATCTCCTTATTCAGCCAAAAAGACACTAGATTCGTAGGTTGCAATAAATTAAAACTAAATGAAAACATACTTAATTTTTTTATTCCCCACTTTAATCACAGTATTATAGAAGACAAAACAAAATGGGATGGAGATCAGAGGCTCAAAAGATGAAAATCAAGAGCTATAATTGTTGAGCACCTCTAAACAAACTTGAAGGTTAAAGAAAAAGCTTTCAGACTCAGAGGAAAGAAAGTCTGTAGCAGTGGTGGTGAACCTATGGCACATGGGCTGCCCACTGGTTGGCTGTTACCATTCAAAGCTCTAAAAAGTCTGCCATCATTGCCAAACCATACAAATTCTTAACTCTAATATCCCTAAATCATTTTATATGTAAAGCTGCATTTTATTTGTAAGGCAAATAAAATCATATTAATATAATAGGAATGAGGTAAGAAAAGGAGGAAGAAAGCCAAAATAGCATTAAAAATGTTTTGTTTCAATTATGTGAAAACTTCAAAATAAGTAACTTTTAGTTACTAATGGCATATCTTTCACTCATTTTCAAAGTTAATTTGTTTAAAAGGAACTGACCACAAATATATATGTACATACATACATGTGTATTTTTATTTATTTTTTTATTACTATATGTTAAACTGGCTTAACTTATCAAGAAATAAAATTGGTTCCGTTTGATACATTCAGTACTTTCACATGTCACTAAGTTCTTACTACCACAGTAGTCACCTAACTCGCTCTCAAATTTAAAAGCTCTCTAATTTCATCAATTTTGGCAACATACTAACACACACACCTGCAAAGGTATTGATAAATCTATTAATTAACAGGATTTTACTCAACAAAACAACTCCATCTTGACAGGCGGAACCTCATTTCATAGATACAATTCCTGTAAGCGTCAGTGAAATGTGAGCATATGGCACCAATCCTCAAAATGAATATACAATCCTAGAGGATTAACACAGTTTTAATTTACACACTGTGGCCATACAAGTATAAAGTATACTTGGTGTGAGGGCTGAATTTGCAGTTCAGTGGTAGAGTACTTACCTAGCATGCACAAGGCCCTGGTTCAATCCCCAGCACCCCAAAACACCCCCCCACACACAGTAGTTGGTATTAAGTACTACTTTCACAAAAGTCTCATTTCAAGGGCTAGAAAATATCTATGGCAAATTAAACTCTTGAAAATAATTCCAGTTATTTGGAAGGTGAAGCTAAATTACTCCAACCTCTCAAAGTTTTTCAAACATCAGGGAAAGTATTAAAGAGAAAAAGGTCACATAGATGAGAAACTTAACTGAGTGCAAGTTACCTCAGAAGCTCACAATATAGATTTTGTTTCTCTTAAATTTTTAGTCTGAAACAGATGTCAACAGACAACTACTCAACACTATGTCCTCAGTACCCAGTGCAGGTCCTGGCTCATAAAAAAAGAGTCAACACTAAAGAAATGAATGAGTGAATGATAAAAACTGCAGTCTTAGCAGTCTTAGCGGCCTAAGCGCCTGCCTAGCAAACACAAGGTTCAGAGTTCGATCCCTGGTTTAAAAAAAAAAAAAAATTGCTGTCTTTATAAAGTAGTAGAATGGTCTTTCTCAACTCACAACACTATCATCACATATTTTAAAGCATCTACAAACAAAAGTTAAAATACGCTCTTAAAAAAGGCTCTATTTACAAAATTATTTTAAAATACTCACTTAAAATTTTGAAATGCAAAAGAAAAAACCAGTTCTGTTAAATTTGAATCATTCAATGAATAATAAGCTTTCATCTTTTCTAATAATGGAAATCAGTGTTGGGGGTGAGATGAAAGAGAAAAATGTCTGTCAATGTAGTGGCCATGTTTAATGGATGCCACAAATCAAACCTTTCCCTGAATTTTCTAGAGCATATTCATGCCAATCTTTCAGCCTATTGTCACTTTCACACATGCTCACAGGAACAAAATGACAAAGAATGCTATGCCTGAACCACTGGATTCTGGGCACAAAATACTTGATTAACAATTGTCAAAGCTCTGAATAGTAAATATGGACAGATATTTTCACAAATAAATTAATTTCACCAATTCCTACATAAATGGAAGCTTTTGGTTTCTTTAAAAGGTTTACTGGGGTGTTGGACTTTTCTTTTTTGAAATGTGCCTATATAATCTCCTTGTGTGAGACAACTGGGAGTGAACAACCCATGTACCAATTGCTGATGAATACCGCTACCAGTTTTTCCAGACAAAAGAGCGTCAAACGAGATTGGATGTACATTTATCCTTCCCCCATAAATGCCTGTTCTCCCAAATTCCATTTTACGTCGTATACTTAAAGTTAAATACTGCAAGTTGAAATTTTAGTCAAAAAGCACTTCGGTGCCTTACTAGCTATGGAACTGCTACATCTGGTGGCGGCACACATGCATGCAAGAAGCCAGAAAACTTAGAAAACAATTGTAACCGATCTGGTGAGTGTTTGCAGTAACCTCTACACAGATACTTCCCACAAAACCCACAACCCTGTCAAAGAACGGCAGCCTACTTTGCACTCAAGATAACGCACAAACACGCAGGAGGCGAAGGCGAAGGAGAGAAAGTTGTAACCATCTGGAGGAGTGGTTTAAACAGCCAGCCCACGAGTCAGTCTGTCGATCGAATGGCTCTAGGGGGCCACAGCAGGGATCAAAGTCCGCCTGGGCGATTTCTGTGTCTCTTCCCGCAGGGCAGAGACCCTGCGAGCCAGGGGCATCCTCCAGGTCCCGGGCAGCAGACCTCGCAGAGCAGGGACCGCCTCTATGGGAGGAGTGCGCGGAGGGAAGGGGAGGGGGCTCCGCGATGAATGCTCCAACGGGAGGGAAAGCCCACCAGAGACCGGAGGCCAGGAGGTTAAGAGTACTGAGTGTTCTCGCAAATGGAGCAGAAAGGGGCTGGCGTCCGGGGGGAGGACTCCCGCCCTCGCAAAACCGGCTCCCGGAGCCCGGGCGAGTCTGCGCGCCTCGCCCCGTCCCCAAAGCGCGCGGCCCCTCGTCCAACTCCTCCGCCACCCGCCGCCAGCGTACCTCCTCCCCGGGCCCGGCGGCCTCCCGTCCACCTCGCCGCCGCCGCCGCCACCCCCCACCCCGGAACCGGGCGACAGAGCGGCGGGGGGCGCGGAGCCGCGGTGCGGCAGCGAGGGAGGGAGGCCCGCGAGCAGCCGCGGCGGCGCTTACCTTCCCTGGGCCTCCCGGATGGCGGCGTGTGATTCAGCAGGGACCTGGCCGCCGCCGCCGAGCCCGGGGTTGGAGACGTGGAGAGCTGGGACCAAGATGGCGGCCCCTCCAAACTTCCACTGCTACTTTGGACACTCATCAAGCTACTTTCTGGGAACCCGACTCCCCCCCTGCGACGACGGCGGCGGCGGCAACGGCACCGGCACCCGCCTCCGTCATGGCGGGGGACGCGCTGAGGGCGAGCGAGAGCGCGAGGGCTGGGAGGGGAGAGTCTAGGGGATGGGGGAGGAAGACGAGCCGAGGGGCGGTGGGGAGGGAAGAGGTGAGGGAAGGAGCGGGGACGGGGAGGAGGGAAGGGGGGAGCCGCGCCGGAGCGGGCGGGCGCGCCGGAGAGGAGGTGGAGGGCGGGCGGGAGCGCGGCGGCGGAGGCGTCGAGGGGGCGCCCGCGGGGGCCAGGGTCGGGGCGCGGGCTGCGCAGGCTGAGGAGAC